GTGTGTGTGTGTGTGTGTGTGTGTGTGTGTGTGTGTGTGTGTGTGTAATGTTTACATGACCACCAAGCCACACCCATAAATTAGGTCACACCCACAGAACCAGTTAGTGGTCCCTGGGATTTAAAATTATGAGTTTAGTGGTCCCTGAGGTCCAAAAGGTTGGTGACCCCTGCTATAGACCATAGTAATTTTTTGGACCTTCTGGAAGACTTGGGGATTGAAGTATTGATTGTTTCATGATGATTTTGTCCCTTCCCTGAGCAATTCATTGGGTGGGGGTGAAATAGAAGTTATGCTGGTGGATCCTCTTTGTGACACATGCCCCAGGGATTGGTCCTTCTACCTACTTTGCAATATATAACATGAAACCACTGGGAGAGATTGGAGAGGGCATTAGCAGGATCAATCCTTCAAAATAGGCTAGAACAGGAAACAGATACTGCATTCCTACTTATAGGAATGCTACTTTATTGTTACTTAGTATAAGGGAAGTTTCCCCACTGCCTCCTCTTATACTAAACAGAATCAAGGAAGGGTTATTTTGCATTTCTTTCTCATACCTCCCTTTTTGCCAGGAGTTATGAGTTATCTTTTATTTTATTTAATGACTTTTGCCAGATTTATTTTAACATTCCTCTATATCGTGCTGCTGATACGCATACGCATACAGCAGCTGTATGGGAAAGTGGTAGTTGTAGTTGAGGAAGCCTTTATCCAGTATTAATTGGTGTATCCGTAACAGCCCTACTTGGAGCAAGCAAGTGCCTCCTGGGCCTGGCAATAGTAGCTCTTTATATTACTGCATGACTACTGAAGATTGCTGCAATGCATTCAGTATGTAACAATATTTGCAGATCACTTGGAAATTGCTTTGTGCAAAATGCAGTACCTGGTTATGGATGGGTGAGAACCTCCATAACCATATAACACATGTGTCATAACCCCTGCTCTGCTTTTGGTGTTGCCTCTATTTTATGGATAGCCTCCTTATTGTGTTAGGCTGGCGTACACTTGGAAGATGTTGTGGAAATTGTTTAAAAAGGAACCTTTCCAGAAGGTGTTTGGGGAATAACCAGTTTGTGTTTGCAATTTTTTTGAAGATAAATACCTTGGAGATTACAAGTTAGACAGACATACAAATTAGACAGGCAGGCAGGCAGATAGAATTCCTGTCTGTATTTGCCATGCACAAATAAGAAATTTGCAGCTGGTTGAAATGACAGGAAATGGAGCACATTGACAACTGCTAAAGCATTTCATAATGCTTAATAAATATGCATGCATGCATGTTTTCAAACAGTCTATCTGAAACTACATCACTACATAATCTATGCAAATAATAAAACATATTGTAATCACTGTTCAAAGAAATTTAGGGGAATGTGAGAAATAACATTAGGAGCTTTTCTTCAAATTTGGAATATGACACTAGTTTTTGTTGCTTTCGCTTGTCTTCATAGCTTTTGACACAATTTAAACCATGGCAATACCTAACAGGCTAATCTAGTTATCTCTGTAAATCTCCTTCAAGGTTGTCACAGCTACTAAGTACCTCCTGTTTTCCTGTTTTTAATGCTGTTTTATGGGAAAGAGACATTGTGGACCACAGACTTAAGCTTGAACACTGGGATTTCCTGCTCTTAGTTGTGGGGGATAAATTGGAGGAGGGGAAAGTGTGTCACCATTCTATCAGTGACTTGACATTTTTAGAAAAAAAATCCAGTGAATTATACCATTCATGTAAGTGATTTTCTGAAGCAGTTTAGATTTCTATGTTTTCTTCTGTTTATTGACTTTGACACTATAATGCATTCTTCAAGTGGCCACGTAATCCCATATGCTTTGGACCACTTGGCATAACATAAGTAAGAAAATAATTACTGTGTAATTTAATGAAAGAGCACTTTCTCACCAAATTTCTCACCAAATTTCATAGACAGATGTGGATATTATCCATTTCTAGTTAAAAAGAGTAGTATTGTACAGTATTTCATTCATCGTCTTCACTGTTTTTGGATTTCTTTAGCTAACTCTTCTACCAAACCAAAGCAATTTATTTCTGGTTTTCAAAATAGATTTAATAAATGGGTTGCTGAAAAAAAATCTTGATCTTTTAAATAAATTGTTTTAATATTATGCTCTTGTCAAGTAATTTTGTTAATGTATATAATGTTTCTATATAGGAAGGAGCTTCAGCACGAAAGACTCAGACCCCAGCAGCACAGCCTGTGGCAAGGCCAGGTAAAAGCAGTGGATTTATCTTATAGTATGAAAGATAAACTAAAAAAAACCAAAACACTATGTCAGAACTGTAAACCCATCTTCAAATTCACTCTGACTTGCTGTGGAAACTATTGAACTTTAATTTTTAAATTATGACTTTTCCCCATAAAAATAAAATTAATACATCTACATTTGCTTGTATATGTAATAATATGATATAATAATTACAGGAATATATGTATTGTGTAAATTTCAGGTACTTTAAGAATCGTTTATTTTCTATGTACAGTAATCTTTGGAAGATATGCAAAATACTAGGGATCTCTACCATATCACATTACTGTTTGTTAATCTACAGTAACCAGGATTTTGAGAAGAACTATGTTAACCTAGGAAAAAGTATGATGTGATCATATTCTGAAAAAAACATAGTCATCTTTCAGTAGTGGTAATATTTATATGATCCCACTGTATTTCATTTCTTGTGATACATTTCAGAAGATAGTGCTTGATGTATATTATATATTATATATTATATACTTTAATAATGAATATCATATAAGTATTTCAAAGGCTGAATAATGACTATCTGGTTTCAGGTTTATAGACACTTGAGGGGAATATGCCTTTAATTGATTATTAAAAAGTAATTCTATAATGTCTTAATGGCACAGCTCCAATTAAAAACAAAAAACAAAATATTTTAGCTTTTATAAATAAAAGCACTTGCAGGATTTTTTTTCCAGTAATAAAGAAAAACTGCTGATTAACTAGCCATCACTAAAAATATTTATGCATCTGTTCTAAAGTATTTATCTTGTGTTACTAAACTTTCTTCTAAAACTGATTTCAGAATAGAATGCTAATGTATTTGAAGTAGCATAATGTTGGGATATTTTTTACTGGTTTTGTTATCTTTGCGGTGCTTAGAAAGGTCATACTGCCTGTCATAGTTATCTCACCAGGGCTGTTGAGAATAAGAATGTGCTTGGAACTGACAAGCAATGATATGAAAAGAGTAGAAATAGCAAGAGCTGAAATACATCTGGATAATTTCTGGATAACTGCTGCACATGAGGTCACACTGCCAGATGCGATTTCACACATATTAACTGAAAGCTTCATCAGTACAAAAACAAGTCCATATCAAGATTTCCCTTCCATAATGCAGGATACAAAGAAATAAAGTGCCAGAAAGCACCTGGTGCTTTCCCTCAGGGTTTCTCTAGAAAAAAATGCTTACATTTCTTTAGTATTTTCATCTATTTATTCCCTATCATTTTAAAATATGTTTTTTAATAGAGTCTCATAGAGTAGACCACAAAGTATTTGAAGTTAGTGCGATGTGATCCACAAACCTTTTAGCAAATTAAATCATTACTTTGTATTAGAAAGGCCAGCACCCAATCCTCAATATTTTTAGTCTAGTTTTCAAGTTTATTACAGTCATTTTGATTTTATTTTTCTTTTCTAGAGTCACCTATCATCAGTTTGAGTCAACCATAAATGTAATTAACTTTGCCCTACCTATACAAAAATAAAGGGGCCAGGACTGAAATCTGTGGCATTTTTTTTTTTGATACTTCACTCCTGGTAGATGTCGAATGGTTGATGAATCTGTACATTCATTTAATTATCATTTCCTCAAACCCCTATTTTACTAGCTTGCTAATCAGAATGCAATGCTTTAATTTCTCAAATGTTTTTGCTTAAATTAAGATGTATCAACTTTTGTACTACTACTACTATGAAAGTTATCTAATGAAACAATGAGATGTGGTTAGAAAAATAAGGGTACATTTGCAATCACCCAGCCTATCAAAGACAATACATGAAGATTCAGCCAGACAATCAACACATTTCTTCAGTATTTTTTATTACAGTTTATTTGTCCTTGGTGCTAAATTTGTTCAAAGTAAATACATATTTCTTGGTAATGTTTCTGTCAATCTCAAGCTTCAATTTTGTCTTTTCAATCCATTGTTTACAGTTTCCTAGTAAGTTTTGTCTGAAAAGTTCAGTTGGTCTTCACATCTGTTTCTTAAGTCACAACTAGTAAAAAGGGTTTTCTTATTTATTCCCTATTGGTTATAATAGGACTTTCCCTCTTAAATTTTGCTGCTAAACTCCTGTTTATTTATTTTGTTCCACTAATTTACTCTTTAAAACTGATTGTATTATATCTTTCCTAATGTCTCTGAAGTAGCCTTTGCTTACTCAGCAAGAACTATTCAAACGTTCACTTAATGCAATGCTTTTGATCATTGGTTTTCCTGAACATTTTGAAACAAAAGAAGACACAGATTAACCCTTGAATTACATCACAATTAGGACCAGAATTTCCATTGCTAAGCAAGGCAATTGTTAAGTGAGTTGTGCTTGAGTTTGTGACCTTTTTTTGTCATGGTTGTTTTACTGAATCACTGAAGTTGTTAAGTGAATGACAACATTAAGTGAATCTGGCTTGCCCCTTTGACTTTGCTTATAAGAGTAGCCAGTTGGAAAGGTCACAGATGGTGATCACATGACATCAGGACACTGGAACAATAATAAATTGCCAATGACCCAAATTTCGATCACATGATTGTGGAGATGCTGCAGCTGTCATAAGTAAAAGTACTGGTCATCAGTTACTTTTTTTGGTGCCAGTGTATTTTTGAATGGTTGCTAAATGAATGATTGTAAGTTAAGGACTACCTGTATTGTTCCTATATTCTGAAACTACATCTTAAAATATATTTTATTATATTGATCCACTGTTAATAATTTTAGCCAAATTCAAGAATCAAAACTGATAGTTAAGTCCTCACTGTCCATTGAAGAAGCAAATACCTTGTATTTGGTAGTTCAAAAGAAAGGATATTCTTATATACGCCAGTAAAATAGATGTAAAGGATGATTGTTAATTTTGGGGGTAATTTAGTTAGTTCAACAACACAGTATTGTTGTTATTGTTAATAATATGTTATTTACATGCAACTCTTCCACACCGAAGCCTTCAGCTATCCAAGACATTTAACACCAATGCTCCTTTTTGTCTCCGAAATGTTAAGCACTGGAATTATATGCCTTGGAAATGCAGAGAGCATTAACAAATAGGGAAATTTCATTCATTCAAAACTTAATACAGCTATTCTATGCTTTTTTTTTCCTACAGTTTCTCAAGCGAGACCTCCTCCAAATCAAAAAAAAGGTGAATTGTTTTCAATTTTACAGCTGTTTTCATCTTATCAAATTGACATCTGCTTTTATGGATTTTGTCATAAATTTATTAATTAGCATTTTAATTTGTATTTTAGTATAATTTTTCAGCCAGAACTTGAAAAGTTTGCTATGATGATGAAAATTGCCTTTTATTTGCTTTAAAAATATGTATCTTCCTATAGGATCTCGAACACCAATTATCATTATTCCAGCAGCTACCACTTCATTAATTACTATGCTTAATGCAAAAGACCTTTTGCAGGATCTCAAGTAAGTAACTAAAAGATATGCAGGGTAAAAGTCTCTTTTCAAGTATCAACAAAGCACGTTGGCAGTCTTGACTAGGATGTCCTTTGTATAGTTTTGGGTTGTGTATCACTTGCAGCATTCCTAAATTGGAGGCCTTATTTGTGGTCCACTCATGCCCTTGTAATCTCCAGTTTAGATTATTGCAACATATTGTACATGGGGTTTCCCTTAAGGACATTCAGAACCTTCAGCTGGTGCAGACGTGTGAGCAATTAATGGTGTCAGTTTTTCAGCATATGCAGTACACTGCACCATCAGCTTCAATGGCTTCCAGTGTGCTTCTTGGTAGAAGTCAAGGTGCTGATAAAGGTTTTCGTGGCTTGGCACTGGGCTACTTACAGGACTGTCTCTCCTTGTTTATAACCATTTCCTCCAGTCTGGCAGGAGGGGTTCCTTAGCTGGTGGATACTATCCGCTAAGGAACTTCAGCTGGTGATGCCCTGCACCAGGACCTTTTCTGTCATGGTACCCGCCCTATAAACATCATTTCACCTGAGATTAAGTCAGCCTCCACTGTTCTAGTATTTTGCAAGGCCCTGGAAATCTGGTCCAAGCCTGTGGCCCCAGGAGTGTAATAGAATTCATCCTTTGACTTTCTTGATATTTATGAAGTTTGGCTGCTATTTTTTTCTCCCAATCTATATTATCTGTTGTATTGTTTTTATTTTATTGTAAGCCACCCACAGTCACTCATGAGAGACAAATAATCAGTACATAAATGCAAATGAAGTAGATGCCATTTTATAACAACTGTTTTTATTGTATATGAAAAGTGCATATCAACAAAACAAATAAAGAAATGCACTCAAAATTGAACAAAAATAAGGGTTTATTTTTGAAGACAATTGTTCTCTTGGGCAGCGGTCACCAACCGGTGGGCCATGAGAAAATTTTGGTGGGCCAAATCTCACCGCCCCCCAAAGCAATTAATCCAGGCTGTGCAGAAACACAAGGCTGCACAACCCACATGGTCCGCGGGAACCTTTCCCGCCCACTCATTCCTTACCCGGCAAACTTGCCTGCTAAATTTCTATTTTTCCTTTTTCCAACCATCATTTGTCCTGCTGTGCCAGGAGATTTAGATTAGCTAGGAAGCATGAAATGGTTGGATTTCTTGCTTCTTTAGATCTTCGGTTTTCCTTTTAAGCACAGCTGAACCTCCCTTAGGATTGAAGGTTCTATTATTCAATGCAGACTCATGGCAAGCAAATTTGAGAGTCTGAGCTAGCCAATGGCAGATAGATCACTGAATGATTCTGAATGATTCTGTGAGCGATTCAATCCGCCTGCCTGCTTTGCCTGATTTTGGGTAAAAGTTGATCTTTTTTTATAAAAAAATTCAATATTTACATACATGGTGTGTTGTGAGTTAATTTTGTGAGCTTGCTTGCAAGCAAATTTTATGTGACAGACTGAGCTAGCCGATGGTACATAGATAGATCACTGAATGATTCTGTGAGCAACTCAATCTGCCTGCCTGCTTTGTCTGCTTTTGGGTAAAAGTTTCTTTTTTTAAAAAAATAAAAAATTCAATATTTACATACATGCTGTGTTGTGAGTTAATTTTGCGAGTTTGCCTGCTAGCAAATTTTATGAGTTTGCTTGCAAGCAAATTTTATGTGACAGACTGAGCTAGCCAATGGCAGATAGATAGATCTCTGAATGAATCTGTGATTGACTCGATTTGCCTGCCTGCTTTGCCTGATTTTGGGTAAAAGTTGCTCTTTTTATATAAAAAATTCAATATTTATATAAATATTTATAATATTTACATACAAGCCATGCCCAGCCAGTCACATGACCACCAAGCCACACCCACAAATTAGGCTATGCCCATAGAATCGATTAGTGGTCCCTGGGATTTAAAATTGTGAGCTTTTTGCACTCTGAGGTCCAAAAGGTGACCTTGGTGACCCCTGCTCTAGGGTGTTTTGTTCTTGGACATTCAGTTTACTTTGTTTCCTGGCTGCACTAGCTTTTCTATGTATAGCAGATAGTTCCCCATATTAAGCATGGGAGCCATTAGATTTGAACTGATTTTTCCTTATTTTTTCAAAGAACATGCTATGCATATTTAACCATTATTAATAAACCATGCAAGTCCAGCACTGAAGTAGTGTACGTGATGGACATTCATAAGACTCTAAAAACCAAATATGTAGCATTCCAGTATTGAATATAGTTAGGTCTTCATTCTTACCTGCTTTACCGGCAATATGCAAATGTTTTCAGCCTAAATCATCTCAGTAAACTAATGATAAATCCAACAACACCAATAAGTACTGCATATGTCCTGTACTGATGCACTATAATTTTCAGATCTAAATTATAATGTGATGTGCCAAAACATTATATTGGCTGACCTATGGAATTGTGAATGTAAAATGGAAGGAGGTGTACAAGTTGACTGCCTTGAGTTTTGGAGGACAAGCAAGATATTAATTTAATGTTGACAATGTGGTGTAACAGTCCATATTTATTGTTACAATGCCACTTTATAGATAAATCTCCCATACTGAATGCCAACACATTAATTAAAAGAAAAACGACAACTATCCTTTTACCTTTTCAATTGCAACAGTGACCAGTGACCTTGCCTAAATTGTAATGGCTTGAAGCTCTAATTAGCTGGTATGGGGAAATTCTGACTTTGTAAAAACAGGAATTATAATCAAACTAAATAACCTTTCCTCAGTACAGATGTATCCTGCATCTGTTATTCCTTATCTGTGCTTCAGAAGTCATATATAATCAGAATAGTGAAGGTGTTCTCTGGTCCTAACCCCCCCCCCCCCCAAAAAAAAAAATCACCCAAAACTTGAGATTGGTATTTTTTTCCAGTTTTGGGGCATTTCTCTGTCAAGATTTCCAGGTTTTTAAAACACATTTCTAAATTTAATTTTAAGAGAAGAATAGATATATCCAGGCACCATCATTTAGATAATTGTTCTCAAATAGTATAGTCTAGCAGTCTGCATAAAATAAATGGTAATGAAGTACTGCCCGGTGTCATTTTATAATTAGTACTGTATTTTCTGTACCACATCATTTTTTTTCTATTTGTGCTTTATTCTATTGATTTAAAAGATGAGCAGCAGAATTGTTGGTTTATCAGTAAAAAAAAAAACCTTTAAAACATTCTATCTTAAAATTGTAGGATATGAAAGTTCTACAGGAAGCTTAAATATACTTCATTATATATTTTTCTTTTATCTGGGTATTTGCCTAATACCTTGGTAACAAATATGGGTTTGAATTTTAGTTGCAGGAGAGTATGGGACAGGGCAGAATGAATTGTTAAGGAAAATCAGCAGTGGAAAAGTGTTAAAATACTTGTCTTTGCAGCTTTTCTACTGTAAATCACTCCCTCTCATTATTGTTTTGCCTCAATATAGAGGGAGTTGGACCATTGTCTCCATGATTAGTTTGATAACAGTAAAGTAATACATCATATTTTGCTTTTATGATGTTTTTCAATATGTATAACACATATTGGCTGTTGGCAAGTAAGCAAAGATCAAGTAGAATTTACCGCTGATCTTTTTTCTACTTCATTTTTGACACCTCATGAAGCTGTATTGATTATCTACTATTAAAACTGTTCCTCTACCATCCTATAAGTACCATATTTTGCCATTAAAGGTTTGAGATATTGAGGAATCTTACTCTGTTGTAAGAGAAGCTGGTGTGCAGTATAATCATGATTGATAATCTGTTCAAGTAATTTTCATTCATTTAGATAACTCCACATTCTGTTTTGTTGTGGATCCAACTTCACTTCCTAGTCTCTGTTGCTTTTTTCCATTTCATTCCTATATATACGTACCTATTGTGTATATCTGCCAAAGAAGGATTAAAGGAAGAAATGACAGTGATTCATTAAAAGCATTAAATGTTTGATTGGATAATTATTGGATCTTCACAGTAGGACATCAAAAAGGAAACAAGAATTATGAAAACTTCTATCAGGGGGTATACTGTCAGGATTAGGAATGAAGTACAGACTCCAAGAAGATATCAAGAACCAAGATAAAAAGTACTTAGAATTCAATAAACAGAGGAAACTTCACACTGTACTGGCGGAAAAAGGGGGGGGGGTATATACATTAGGGAAGAAATAGAAGCAAAGCAAATTTATGCAGACATCAAAGGAAGAATATTAATATTAGAAATAAAGATAGGACAAAGACAGATGCTACTAGTAAATATTTACGCACCTAATAAAAACCAAAAAGAATTCTACAAAAACTCAGTGAAAAAATTGTTGAGATAGGTCAAAAAGATATATGTATAGTTGGAGACTATAATGGAATAGTAGAGACTACAAAAGACTATGTTTGCGATAATAAGAAATTTAAAAAAGGAATATACTACCACAAACACTCTTTGATGATGGAGGAATTGAATCTGACCTATGGAGAACATTAAATACCTCAGAACAAAAATTTACATTTTGAACCCATATAAATCATACTCAAGGATTGACATGGTATGGACAAATATAGATTTAGGTAAAGAAATAGAGAAAATTGAAATTCCCCCAAACATCTGGGCTGACCATAATCCCATTAAAGTAAGTTGGAAAGGCCAGAAAAAGAAAAGAAAAAGATGGACACTGAACCCCTGTATACTATTAGAAGAAGAATATATTCAAAAAATCTCAAATGAATTAACACTATTTTTCAATATAAACAAAAAACAACATACATCATTACAAATCCTATGGGATACGATGAAAGCATCCACCAGTGGGGTAACAATATCCTACATGGCAAAAAGGAACAAGGAGAAATGGGGGCAATAAAACACATTACAATTAGAAATAGGAGACTAGAAAAATAAATGCAAAAAAATCCGGGGAGCGATCAAATTAAAGAACTGAATTTGGCCAACACAAATTAAATCTATTACAACAGGAAGACATTGCAAGAGATCTTAAATTTATGAAGCAAAATTATTTT